GTGTTATGTGTTCATTTTCACTAACCTCAAAGCACTATCTATTTCTTCCTCATGATTTGTTTTTGAACTCATCAGCTATTGAAGAAAGTATTTTTGTTTTTGTTTTTGTTTTTAGACACACACTTGGGAATTCTTAAAATTTTTTTCTGTTTTTAATTCTTGATTTCATTCTGCTCTGGTCAGAAAACATATTTTGCTTTAGCGTGAAAATATTTGACTATTGTTGTTGAATTGTTCATTTCTCCTTTCAATTCTGCAAGATTTATTTCTTATATTATGGGAGTCTATTGTTAAGTGCATATGTAATAAATCCCCTTTACTAGGGACACCTATTGCTTATTAAAGAAGTCAAGTGATACCTAACCCTATATGCAAGCACTATGATTCCATGATGGTCAATCTGATTACTGAGATAGCTACTAATAGGCAGGCAGGGTGTATACCATGAGTACATGGAACAGGGGAATGGTGTAGGACCAAGGTGGGCTGCAGTAGTACAGAAAAAGTTCATCATGGATAGCGTGTAGCTTAAAACTTAAAAATTATTTTTGGAATTTTCCATGTGATATTTTCAGAACAGGATTGACAGTAGTTAACTGAGTTCGTGGATGGATGGAGGGGTCTACCATATGTTTATAATTATTATATTCTCCAGAATAATTAGACCTTTTATCATTATTAAATATTACTCTATTTATCTAGTAAATTTTTGTTTGTTTTAAGTTTATATTAATGAGATTCTGAAGCTTTCTTAAGATTGCTGTCTGCATGGGATATCTTTTTTTCATCCTTTCATTTTCAGCTTGATTTTACTTTTGAACATAATGTGTGAACCCAGTAAATTGCATATTGTTGAATTTTGCATTTCTGTGCAGTTGCAATCTTTCTGCTTCTTAACTGGACTTTTAGCCAATCAAAATACCTTACACAGAAAATTATAATTGACGTAGTCATATTTACATCTAACACTTTTGGTTTTCTGTGTTCCCTGTCCTCTCTTGTGCCTCTAATCCTTCATTACTGCTATTTTTGGCACTAAAGTTCGGTATAATATTTCCATTCCTTTAGTGATTTTTAAACTTATTTTCTTAGCAGCGGCATGAGTTTACCCTATATATCTTAACCTAGCACACACTGCCACAGATTTATATTAATTTAACACCAGTGAGATAAAGAAATATGACTCCTATGACCTGTGTTGACACCACAGCTGGCCTCAGGAGAGCACCTTTTCCTGCCTGCTATTGGGCCTGTGTGTGGCTCATACACTCCTCTTTCTTTGTCTCACAATTTATGTTAATTTTGAGCAACTCTGAGTACTGATCACCTTGTTTTGTTTGCTTGTTCATTTGTATTGTGACTCAGCTAGACAACTGAATGAAATCATTTCCCTCCACAGTATCAAGCATCTGGTGTTTCTTCACAGAGGAAGCAGACTCAGGAATGTGCAAGTTCAAGGTCCTTTGTACAGATCTCTTTGACTCGCTCCTTGCCTCGGCACAGCCAGCTGTTGAGTTCCACTAATTGCTTGCTTACTGCTCAAGCATTTTCAACAACACCCTGGGGCATAAATTGCTCCACACTCTGACCCAGTTACATTTGGACTCTTGTAGGGGTAGTTTCAGAGGTCAGTGTTGGAGGTTTGTTATGACTCCAGGAGGGTTCTTCATAGCTGTCTCTTTCCCCAGTTCTCTCACACACTAGCTGGTCTATGTTTATGAATCTCCGATGAAGTTTCCTCTTAATTGTTGACTACTGAATCCTCTATTGCTATGAGAGTGTCTCTAAGGTGGAAATTGTTCACACTCCATTTCAAATAATGATATTTTAGGAAGGCATGACTCCTTTCAGGTAAAACTTCTAAGTGTCGTGGTGCTGACACACATATTTAATTTCAGCTCTGAAGGAGTCTGAAGCAATTTGAAGCTATCTTGGGAAACTTAGCAAAACCCTGTCCAAAAACCAAACAAAAAAAAATGCAAAAAAGGCTAGGGACATAGCTCAACAATCTCTGGGTTTAATGCCCAGTATTACAAAACAAAACAAAAACCAAAACCAAAATCACACCTGTGTGTTTCAGCTAGGGTGGACAGTGCATACTTCTCTAAGTGATTCTCCTTTTTTTAGTATCAGGGCACTGGATGGAGAGGTGGACTCTGTTTTCCCCAGTTTGTGTCTCCCACTGTGGAGCCTTTGCCCTATCCGTAAGATGCAGTGCGAGTTGATGAGGCCCAGTGTTCTTAGTGTGCCATGACCATGGTGTTGGGTGGAAGAGGGCTTCTTTTTGCCTTGAACTAAGCTTTTGCAACACTTATCCAGAAAGGACAAGAGATGCTGGCAACATGCCTCTCCCATAATGGGGAATGCAGGAAACTTAGTAATGTAGCAGCACCTCATTTCTGGGTTGTAGACACCTGGAAGGGAGGTTTCTGTCACAGAGCTGGGAGGAGGAAGTAGGCCATGGTTGATATTGCCATTCAATTGGCTTAGTTATTTTTGTATTGCTAAGACAAAGTAACACCCAAAATTGAAGGAGACAAGGTTTGTCAGTAACTCACAATTTGTGAAGGATTTAGTTCATAGTTGGCTGGCTCTAAGGGAAGTTGGAATGGAAGAGGGGCACGGCAGAGGAGAAACAGTCCATGGCAAAACAGGGCAAATAGAAGGTAGCAAGCAACAAGTGGCAACACTTGTCCCCTTTGTGTTCCTAATATTCTATTAGTGCTACACACACTTAGTGCAGATAGTACCCACACCCAGGGTGGGCCTTCCCATTATCCACACACAGAACTTCCAAACTAATCAGTGGGATAATTTACTGATCAGACACTCTTAATCCCAGCATCACACACTTAGTTGCAGCCACCTCTGAAAAGCCTAATCTCTGACTGCATGAGGCTTTGGGGGGACAGATAGACACAACACATAACAGAAGTATTCTCACAGATTTTTGTATATATTCTTAAGATTCCTGCTTTTACTGTATGCCCTTAGAACAAGGCCCTGGAATTTGGTGACTTTTGTGGTCTTCTATATTTTCATCAGTTAGCTTGTTGTGAAGAGGAAGGGGACCTCACAAGGCCATTCCCGAAGTGAAACACACATATTTATTGCTCACACTTTGTGAGCTATGCTTCGGAACCACAAAGAACAATCTTCACAGTGTCTGAATTCTTTTAGGAATATACTAGGAGAGGTATAACTGAATCAAATGGCACCTTTATGTTTAGTTTTTTTGAGGAACCTCTGTATTGGTTTTCATAGTGATATAAATTTTCTTTTTAAAAAATTTTTTTTTACTGATGCAATTTTTCAATGTGCCTTCTCTCCACAGGGACCAAGTCTCAGATCTTATTTCATTCCAGAAGACACTTTACCAGAGTTAGCTTCTGGGTTCTTTGAGCTGCATTTCCTTATACCCCTTGGTCTGTGTGACTGTATCAGTCAGAGTTTACTGAGAAATAGATATAACACAAGATATACAAATGTATAAGAAATTACAAGATTGGCTTACAGTGGTCAGCCACAAAGTGAAATGAGGGAGCGTGCAGAGGACGTCTGCACACTGGAGATTTTAACGGTCCCACCCAAGGGTTGGAGCTTACTGCAGTGTCCTGTGCAAGTCTGTATCAGGAGGCCGATGGGTTTATGACAGAACACTGAAGAGTCTTATGATGAAGGCCGAAGAGACCCAGGCAGAGACCAAACAATCTCTGCCAGAATCCAGGAGACCATATCCAAGCTGAAGGCGAAGACTGGAGCTCCTCTGAAGAACCAGCCATCAGTCGTCCTCATTTACCTTTTATTGTATGTAGGCTGTTACCCTGGAGTGGGTGTAGCACTCACACCATCTGTGTGCCCTCCTTTTTGCACAGTCTGAGGCTGTTACAAACTAAGGACCATAGTCCCCTCCTGAATCACTTACTTAAACCTTTGTCTGACCTTCAGTTGACACAATGAACAATATTCTAGAACAGCAATGGCTTGTCATCTATACTCCAGAATTTAGAGCTGCTGAGTTTCTTAGTTATGTTTCTAGACTTCTCAAGTTGACACAGTGTATAAACCATAACAGTGATCAGTTACTTATTAGCAGTTTCTCAACTTATTTGTTTTTATTGTCTTATACTGTATTATTCTTTCTGTATTATTATTCTTATGGGATAAATTTTGTATATGCTCCCTCTTTGCTATAAACATTTTCTCAGACTCTTGCATCCAGAGATAGTTATTTGCACAAATCTTGTGAGGAGGTGGCAAAAGAGAGTTTACTGGGAGGATCTTCTGAAAAATATTTTCTCTGTTATAAAAATAAATAACTTTTTTATCACACTTTTTTCCCCTTTACATTAAATATACCTGGGTGAGGAGGATGTAATATGGGAGCTGTGGCAACTGCTTTGCAACCATAAGGGACAAGGTGAAAAATAAAACACTGATACCCAGAGTGTTAGCCTGCCTCAATCTTGTACTTGCTTGGACTAACCCTAATCTTGTGTATCTTTGCAGACAAGGATGCCTGTAAGTCAGAAGTTCATCTTCAGATAGGCTAGCCAAAACCAACTGGATCAAAGACAGATGCCACAGTGTCCACCAGGCAACCTCTAATTTCATTTTAAGGTCATCTGTTTTCTAATTGATACACTCCTTTCTGCACCATAGCTGGAGTGGCCTGGGAAGGCTTGGCTGGATATGGAATTGTACTCACTCTGGAAGGAGGAGAAAGATGGGGAGGATTCAGAAAACAGAGAAAGGATCAAGAGTTATAGTTATGCTGTTCTAAGAAAGGCAAAAGGAACCCCAGAAATCATCTTTTCCTCTAAGTTTGGCCAACAATAGTTCCAAAGTTACACAGCTCAGGGGCTTTGTCAGCTCCAACTCCACTGGAGATATGCAGCTCAAGTGAGAAGGAAAGGGTGGGTCTGAATGCCACAGGACCTCTGTGGGCAAGGGCACGGCTGGCTGGGCTCTGGGCCCAGCACTCCCATTGTTTGAGGGCTGGCAGACAAGTGGCAAAACACAGAGCCTGTCCTTCAAGAAGCAGATAGCTCCAACCCCAGGCTGCCTTGGCTCCAGTCTGCCAGGGGCTATGGCAGGAATTTCCTGAGCCATCCTTTCTAGCTGGGCTTCTCACACTGTCCTGTGAAAGTGGATGTCTGAGGGAGCAGGTAAGTGGCAAATCCTTACATCTTCTAGTCCAGCTCTACTGCATTTTACATGGCTTTAATCATTCAGCCTTGAATCACCATTACTGCATTCTTTTGACACCATCAAAAACCACCATATGGACAGAGGCCGAATAAGCTCCTGGGCCCTTGGCTGTTACTCATGGAAAGCTCAAGGAGATGGATGGCTTGTCCTTTATTTTGAGCTATTCTTTATGTTGAGACAAGGTATTCTAAGTCACCAAGTGCCCAGGCTATGCTCAACCTTGCACTCTTCCTGCCTTCCTTCCCAGAATGCTAGCCTGGTTCTTTTGTGTCTAACAAATGTGCTGATGCTTCCTGAAATTCTTTTTCTGGAAGGAGAGTTGATGAATCTATTCCATATGGTGGTGATGGGTGTTTCTTCTTTGGGGGAGAGTTCCTGGCATCCCATCTGGTGATACTTTCAATATTTCAGAAAGTGAAAATTTTATTAAACTTCACAATTAGTAGAATGACATTAATTCAACCAGTGTGGGCAGGGGCACAGCTGTGTGGACCCTGGGCCGGCAGAGATAACCTTAGCTTACTTCCTCATGGTTTTCAGTGAGTTCTGCTGCCTGCCCACAAAGCTCAGACAAGTGTACCTATAAGGTCCTGGTGCCTTCAGATAGTCAAGAAGAGCTTTAGAATTATTTCAAAAGGAATATAAGATACGGTGATTAGTTTTATGTGCCAGTTTGACTGGGCTACAGTATTCAACTCTTTGGTCAGATACTTATATGGGTGTTGCCACGAAGGCATTTTGTAGATGTGATTAACCTTTACAGTAACTGAGTTTAGGTAAGGGAGATGAACCCACCCAGTGTAAGTAGTTGCATCCAATCAGTTTTTCATTGTTTAATAATGGCTGATAACTTATTTATGTAACATTACTCAAAAGAAACCACCACTTATTAAGGCCTCTTCAAATCTCATAATCAGCCATTTTTGTTCTATCTGAAATGTCTTTATTCCTGTGGTAGCTTTATGGCTGAGGCAGCTGTTGGACATTTCTTAGTTTTGCAAAGCTGTGAGGCCGTGGAAAAATCTCCACTAAAGTTTCTCCAGCTTAGTTTAGGGCAGATGTCTGGACCTCGTGTGGTTAGCATAAAAGTTCAATAGCTGTAGCAATTATTTTACTATTGTAATATACGGGAAAAACTTCCTGGCTTCCAAAATGCACAGCCCCCACAGTGAGTTAATAAAGTTTCCACCTCTGGCCTCCTCAGAGGCTCGGATGAAGTACCTTGTGAGGAATCACAAGCCTGGGTTCAGGGCTCTGGGTGTTGAGGCCCTGAGATCCAGGGAGCTGGCTAGAAGAGCTGGGGCTTGGGGTTGAGGTCACTGCTGGCCTCTCCAGTGTGGCTCCCGCCTGGAGGCTGTGTTGGCAAAGGGAGCCACACACACAGCCAGGAGAGATGGCTTAGCGATTTCTTTTGTTATTCTGGCCTCCACAAAAACATCTTTTGATTGAGATGCTTGAGAGCACTTTGACTTTGGAAACTGGTGACATCTCAAGGAGATGGATGGCTTGTCCTGTGATCAGGAATCACAAGTATTCTGGGTTCCAGAATTACAAATCTGGGGCTTTGTCTCAAACTTGTCCCTGGCAATGGACACTGCGGAATGCCAGCTTCAAAACTGCATTGTCCTTCAGTCTCTTCTCCATGTTGCCAGTTTCCCACTGTGGTAACTTGGTTTGCTCAAGCACCTGTAAGCCCTCAGAGAGAAGATTGGTCATTATGAACCTGTCATAAGTTAGGCTTGATTTCCCAGGGGGATCTCTCTGCCTTAGATTTCAGCTTCACCAAAACGCTCCTGAAGAAAGAGCATCAAAAGAAATTTTGAAGTTTTCTTTCTCTAGTTTTTGAAATCTTCTATGATAAGCATAATTTTGTATATAAGACACCATCGAGTATTTTAAAATTTTCTCCTCTTGTAGGTAAGATTTGGATATAAAATGGCAGTTGAGAAAAGGAGCCCGAGTACTGTGAAAGGGACATAGTGAATAGCCTGCTTCCACTGTTAGTAATGGTGCCTGACGTGTACTGTCTCTGAAAGAAAATTCAAAGGGTTTCCACAGCATCGTAATGTAACTGAACATGTCCGCTGACCCTAAGAAATACTAGCATAGGACTAAAGGATCCTGGTTCCATAGTCAAAGAATCTAAGCCTGTAGAAGCAACAAGGCAGTGACAGGAAGGGATAGCTATGTAGTTGGAATTGACCCAACTTTAATGGTGATCTTACCTCAGAGGAAACACATGTTGTCTTTTCACAGAAACACTACACTTGCATGGTGGCTTGGAATTACAACCTTATTTCCAGAGGCTATTAGGAAGAGAGACCTGGTTGTTCAGGCCTGGACAGCCAGAGTACGAGCATACTCAGCCCCTCTGTATCCTTTCCTGGCCCAACATGTGGGGAAGACTGAAAGGGTACCTAGGGACAGGTCATTTGAGAAACATGTTCATTTTACTTCCAACATCAACTGAGATTTTTGGAAGGATGAAAAGCAGGAGAAAGGCTAAACTGTGACGCTTTATCCAGTTGATCAAAGTCATCTCTGCCTCACACCATTTTGTGGGGACGACAATGCTCTGGCCCCAGGGAATGACTAACAGACAAGGTCTGCCAGGCAACTGCCAAGAAAAGATCTTATCTGGAGAGAAAGAAGCAACTTTCTGTTCTTAAGTCTACCATTCCCATCCATTATTCCTGGGAAGGTGGTGACCTCACTCTCAGGGCCATCAGTGCCACCTTCTTCCAGCAGCCACCCAGCCCCACTGTCTGTCCTGGGACCCTCTTCCCTCCCCATTTCCACCTATCCCCAGCCCCAGGGACTGTGTGGCCAATGTCCCAGCATTTCCTGCCACAGATGAAGACTGGTGGCTGCCAGTGCATGGCTGAAGCACATGCCCAGGAAGGAGTAGCTTGAAAGTCCAGGGCTATGAAGCAAGAGGCCAGCCTGGCTAAATGACTCTGATGTGAGTGTGTCTGTATACAGCTGGACATGTGGGATAACGTGAGGGACTCATGAAAGTCCCCACAATTATCCCTTCACCTTCTTAAAGTTCGTTTGCACCAGGCCAGGAAAGGGAGTCATGATTTAGAGCAAGGCTTCCCAGAAGCCTCCCTAACATACAAACATGTTAATGACGTGGGGCAGGTAATTCTTTACTGCATTTATACCACATTTATCATTGGTTACCTAGTTAGATACCCAGAAGAATTTCTAGAATGAACCAAAAGACCCAGAATTTTGCTGAGGAAGAAGGAGGCACTGTCCATAGTATGGGGAAATGAAACAGGCTGGCCCATGCTGTGGCAGGCAGACCCCAGACCACAAAGTTGCCAGAAAGGGATATTATGGGCTGTCTGGAGTATGTGAGAACAAAGGAGGAGCAGGGAGAGTCCTGAGCACAGAGAAAGAATCCAGTACAAAGCACCCACATCAGACTTAGCCCACATAGACCAACAGGGAACTGACCACAGATGAAAGGGGGTGCTGGCTTGCCAAGAGCCCCTGAAGTTCCCTCCATATTTTTCACAACCCTGCAAAGCCAGACAATCTGTGTAGCTAATAGTTTTAATTTTACACATACTAAATTAATTAAATGAATGCTCAGGCAATGGATAATTACATTCAGTGTTTGTGGGTTTTAAGTTTACTCACACAAACAAATTTCAGGCCAATAAAATCAATCCTTTCCAGTGTCACCCTTTCCAGAAAGCATCCTTTGGACAGCAGTTCACTGGGACATCTAGCTGGGATGGAGGGGTTGGGGTTATTCATCTTCCTGAAAGCCCCTGCCTTCTTGAGTCTTTCTTGTTGAAGGTGTGATCCCTCTCCAACCTAACAAAGGTTTCACTGTTTAAAATTCCAGTGTGAATGAACTGCCTTTTGCCCTTACCCCAAACTGTGTTTGCACATGTCTGGTTAACATGACAACACAAACATTTCAAGATGACCTTGACAGATCCTAACTGGACGTTGAATACCTGTGAGACTGTCCAAGTGTTGCAGAGCACAAGGATCTCTGAGGATGCAGGATGAGGTTATGGGTGGGAAGACAGACAGCACACTTGTTTATGCCTCACCTACTATCGATTAGTATCTAAATGCTGAAACCCACAGTATTAGCTTTATTTTGTTAGCAGTGTACTGACTTACAGAGAAGGCATGGAGCGTGCATGCTTCATCTGTATAATCGCTGCCATTTACTGAGCCTTCAGATCTTCAGGAGCTGTGTGCAGGTTGTAAACATGGTCCTACTGAAGTCTGCTTGAATTCTGAGAGGTCAGTGCATTTATGGTCAACATTCTGCAGATGAGAAAATGATTCTCTGAGAGGTCAAGTTAATTTGTACAAAGTCAGAGTTAAGTATGAAATCTAGGTGCATTAGATTCTAAATCACAGCGTTAAAACCTCCCATTTCAACACTGGCCTTAGGTTAATCCTATTTAACCTTAGGAGGGGTTTACCTTTGGTTACTAAATATCCCTTAGGATCAGGAACATCCTGCCTAGACCAATCTTAGCATTATAATAGGAAAGAATAATTTAAATTGGACACTGGATAAATTATAAATCAACTAATCATAGAAATCTGACATTTCCTCTTACTTATGCTGAGGATGTAGACTTTTAAAAAATGTACTTGGCAGCATAAGCACATCTTTTTATGGAATCTTTTTTTATGAGCCCTTTAAATATGAACTCTTTTAAAACTTCATTGCCTTTGTTGGATTTCAGCTTGAAATGTGGCTAGCCCATTAGGATATCCTGGGAGAGCCCAGGTTTGATCACTGAAGTGCAGAGAACATTTAATAAAGAACTTCTTGGAAGATTCCTGTGTGACTCACAGTGGTTGGATAGTGACTCTGTGGTATTCTGGGATGTTAGTCACACTTGCACTTCATATAGCTTAAGCAAATAAAATAAATAACTGGCTTCTCTTCAAGTCATTTTTCGTGTTCCTT